CGTTAGAAGTTCTCTAAGAATCATATCTGATCATTACCTTCACCGTTGACCGCTAAACTACCGAAGAGCTTCTCTACGGACGGCAAGCTCCCAACCGTACGCACGCCTACGCCACCAACTGTTGGTCCCCAATGGAATGGACCGGCCGTCAAGTCTATGAATGCCCATCTAAAACAAAAGGGAAAGATATTTCAGCACGTTAAGTCGACAGGTAGCACTCTTACCGCCCTTGACCAGTCCACGTATCAACGAGGCATTCTTCTACCGTCTTGAATGCGTCTGGGTTTTTCAATGTTCTTTTCAAAGAAAAGGCTAAGTCATGGTTTGATTCCGAGAGAACCTGCCGAGTTCTGTTAATAACAGTGTGGTAAGAAAACAGGGACGTAAGCAGCTTACCTGCTGAGTTTTCATAAACAACAACTCTTCTGAGGTTTTTGATTTCATTGACGCCTCGATTGACTTGAGTGCATCTGTATACTTCTGAGTCCATTGTTTCTGCCAATGGACGAGGATGTTAGCATTTAAATTAAGAATACAACGTTACCATGTCCATGTGTTGAGAGGATGTCCAAGAGAACTTCTGCCTTGGATGTTTTTCATGTGAAGGTTTTCTTAACTTCTCGATGTCTGTCAGCACAGGTTTCAGGATTTCGTCTGAAGTACAAGACAGAAACTAACCTAGTGGATTCCGCTGCTTTGTTGTCTTCAACGACTTCAAGTTGGAATTCTGAAAACAAGAGCATCAGAAAAGCAAACGACCAAGGCGGAACTTACTTTAGCAACAAGTTTTAATTCCGAAATGGACAGCCCGCGCCTAAAACATATCTGATTATCGAATTTACCAACCAGCTAAAACTATTACCTGTAGCCGTAAGTCTTTCTGCTCTCGTCACGCTTAGGGTTCAGAACATAGATGTTATATGCATCTTCCAATTGCAAATAGTGCGTTAAGCTCTCGAATAAGTATGACATGCTATCCATGTCCACTTGCCAAGTAACTTCAGAATCTGGCCTGCCAAAACGAACAGTAATCTAATGCAAAATATGACAATGGAGAACCTTGAGTCACTGGTATCTTCCCTCCGGGAGAGAACTTTGATGGCGTACTCAAAAAGCTTAGTTACTTCAGTTCCCATATCGATAGTATGCACGGAATAGCTGGATTAAAGAAGGGAGTTATGAACAAACAGCTCAAGCAAAAAAATGACCGACCTTAGTCTCTCATCTCACAATATACTTACTTGTAGTGCGTATAGCTAACAAGAGGGAGGTGCGGCCTCGGGGTACCATCAGCTCCGACCTTATAAAAGGGTGTAAGATCGTCACCGAGTTGAGGTATCCGCGTGTGTTCCAAAACATGATCAATGTTTGTAAACCAGCGCTCCATCTCGTCCTCTCGCAGCTTCACATCTGTAAAACCACGCGAGTTTAAAATAACGTACTCAAAGCCTGCTGTCGATTACCATGGTTTCCATGGCCGTCAAAGCCGATGAAGACGAAGGTAATTGGAACAGGTAGATAGATCGCATCGATTTCAGTCATGTTTAGATACTTGGCAATTCTTCCTACAAGAACACGTATGCGCAAAACGTAAGAACAGAGAGTTTTTCCACTTCTTTTTACCGGAGCCAGTGAAATTTGCAAGAGCTTTCTTGCTCAAATCGTGGGACTCGAATCGCTCGAAGTCGTCATAGCCTGCAGTTATCCATAAGAACCAATACACGAACAACAAACATGGATATTTCTTACTTCTCCACATCAGAGTGTCGGTCCAGAACTTTTTGGAGCGCGCCATGTCGAAAAGAGAGAGCACCGAAGTCTTGGATTTGAACCTAGAGGATGTGGTATACACTGCTTGACCCGAAACATCCTGGATCACAGCAAAGAAGATGGAGTGAATCGAGATTTAAGCAGCATTTTCCTCCAAATTCTATGTTCTTCGCTGGCCCTACTCTAGATTCGACATACCTCGGGAGCGCAGAGCAGAATGCCGAGGAGGAGGCCGATCAAAGCGCGCATCCACGCAGCGCCATAGCGGCGATCCAGCGCCATCGCCGTCAGAGCCGAGCCAGCATCGGATCGATCGAGAGAAGAATTAGGGTTTTAGAAAAGTAGAAAATATTTCGCTCTTTTGGTATTAGTGGTGTAGCTTGGAGAGAAGATACAAACAACACGATGACAAGAGGATGGACGTGGAGAAGAAGAGAAGCTCCATGCTGGAAGTCACTGGAATTTTCTTCGACTTCTCAAACATCCCAACGAGCAGCACCATTACTATAACATGCCCGAGCTTTGTCTTGAGCTCGTCCAAGGATCGAATTTCCAGCCACTTTGGACGCTCCTGGAAAAGAACAATAAACATTTAGTAGGGGAAGAAGAACATAGTTCTATGTTCTTCTTCTTAGTTCATAGAAGCACTTACTCGCAATCTAAAGAGACCAAATAAGTTGGATCCACAAACGGTAGTCCTCGAGCCTTCCATACAGTAGCCTCCGGGAACATCCAAGCTCGCAACGAAGAGTTCATACAATCCCATTCCAAAGATGAGCATCACTGTTCCAACCAGATAGACATCTACGAGAAAAAAAGCAGAAAAAATGAATATTGTTTTCTTGGATGGATGATCTAGAACTCTTACCGACAGCTTCTACGAGCAGCAGTATGACTTTTCCAGATCCAACACCGGAATGGCAATTCTGGAAGTACTCGATGAACGATTTGGCGATGTAAGTGGATCCCTGTGACAAAGATTTATTTTGTGACAAAGATTGCTATTTCGAAGAGAAAACTTTACCTTAACGAAGCAAAGAAGAGCTCCAGCGAGTGATCCAAACACTGCAAACAGCGTGAAAAATCGACAATTGAAGATCATCTGATAACACAAAGGTTGTAAGTTTCAAGTGATTCTCTAGATAGAAAAACTTCCACTCTTACTCTTTCCAAGTGTTCCTCCACATTCTTGCTGTTATCACTGATGAGCTGCTGCTTTTGATCCGCTGTTGCCGACACCGATCCATTACCACACGAGAAATTGTAAGAAGGATCGTGATGGAGCTGCTGCGCCGAGATTAAAAGCCTCTGCGCTCCATTCCTTCCAAAATCCCTTCTATTGTTGATTCTACAATCGACTACGATCACTGGCCTTCGATGAATCGTTCCACACTTTTGTGTTTTAATCAATCGTTTCAAAGGAAGAACAAAAGACGCACTGGCAGACGCCATGGAATCAACTCCACACAAAGCTTTTCAATACTGCCACGTCGGATAGATTCTCCTGGCGGACAGCCCACCACGTGGATTCCCACACTGACGTGGACAGTTTTTGCCGTTGGTACGAGAGTGGGATATTCTCCTAATATTTGTAGGGGATCTTTACTCCAGTTTTAACCTATGGCGGCAGCGTTCTCTCTCTCTTCGACCGCCCTGCGCGTCAGCCTCCGGCGATGGCGTCCCAATGGCGCCACGATTAAATCCGCTAGGAGCAGCAAGAATGTGTTGTTGCGGCCAAGGATCGCGCAATGGCGAGCTCTCGGCGGCAGTGCGGTGCCGGGATGGAATGCCAAGGAATCGCCCTACGATGTTCTTGGTAAGATTAAGATTTTGGTGGATCAGATCGTTCTTTCTCACACCTGATGTTGCTATCGAGGCGTGGAAAGAGATTGCAATGAAGAAGGAATCAAGTCTGCCTATCGCCGCTTGGCGAAGCTCTATCATCCAGACGGTACGAGCTTGTTTAGATCTTTCTTGTCAGGACGCTTAGCTTTATCTTTCTCAGTGTACAGTGGAGATACCCAGCTACTGGAAGATGAAACCGTGGAGGGAAGATTTATAAAAATCCAGGCCGCGTACGAGCTCCTCACAAATCAAGAAGCTCGTCGGAGCTACGACTATGACAACAGAAGTGATCCCATGAAGGTTCTTAGTTTTTCTCTTCTCGGTGTTCTTTTCTTCTTTCTAATCGCTGGAACTTGGAACAGGCGTCCAAGGCTTGGATGGAATGGTTTATCAAGAAGAAGCAAGCATATGAGCAGCGAGGAGATCTGGCTGTGACTTTGTGGGCACAGCAGCAGCAAAGAGAGATGAATCTCAAAGCCCGTCAGCTTGCACGACACAAGGTGAAAAGTTCTCGGACACTGCTTTGCTTGTTCATACGGATAGATGTTTTCTTTCTGAAGCTCAGATGGATCCGGAGGAGGAGAAGCGGATAATCGCGAAAGAGAAGCAAGCCTCCACGATCAACTTCGAGACCACTCTCAAGCGGCATACTTTGGTGCTGAAGAAACGAGACATCGAGAGGCGACGAAGCGAAGAAGAGGCTGCCAAGAACAAGCTTGTGCAGCAACTTCTCGCGTCCGAGGGCCTCGAGCTAGATGATGGAAAAGAAGATTAGTTTTACTCTCTACCAGGTACCTTCGCGCCATTTAAATCTTTAAACTTTGGAGCTCGCAGGATGCCATGGGATCGCTCCAATCGCAGTCGCCATGGGCCGATCTCGCCAAGCAAGTCACTCGTCACAGGAAACTCAGCGAACCCGAGCGCGAATCCAAGCGTCGAGACGGCAATTCCACCCATTTCTTCGCGGACCAGCTCAAGTCGTGCAAGAGCCTCACGAAGGGTCGTCAAATCCACACCCAGATCCTCGAGACAAAGCACTACCGCAACATCTTCCTCGCCAATCTGGTGATCGAGATGTACGGCAAGTGTGGCAGCGCCGAGGAGGCGCTGCGAGTGTTCAAGGATCTGAGCGAACCCAACATATTTTCCTGGAACATCCTTCTCGCGGCGTTGTCACGCAATGGCGAGATCGATCGCGCCAGGATGGCGTTCGAGAAGATGCCGGTGAGAGACGCGGTGTCGTGGAATGCGATGATCGCAACATATGCCCAGATCGGGCATCTGGAGAAAGCCAAGAACTTCTTTGATCGGATGCCCAAGAAGAACTCCATCTCCTGGAACTCGCTGATCATGGCGTACGCGCATAGTGGATTCGTGGGCGAAGCGCGAAATCTTCTCTTCGCGATGCCGCAATGGGATCCAGTGTCGTGGACAACGGTGATCGCAGCGTATGCCGCCGTGGGGGATAGCAAGGAGGCCGTGATCCTCTTCCGGATGATGGATCTCGAGGGGATTCCCGCGGATGGAGTGGCGTTCGCGGCGGTGCTGGATGCGTGCGCGAGCCACGCGACGCTGTCCGACGGCGCGGCGATCCACGCGAGCATCCTCGAGAGTGGATTCGCGATCAGCACGGTGGTTTCCACCGGATTGGTGAACATGTATGGGAAGTGCGGCAGGCTGCGCGAGGCGAGGGCGATCTTCGATGCGATCGCGTTCCGGGAGAGGGATCTGGTGCTGTGGACGTCGATGATCGCGGCGTACGCGCAGTGGGGGCGCGGCGAGGCCGCGATCGAGGCGTTCCAGAGCATGCTCTTGGACGGGATCGTGGCGGACGAGGTGGTGTTCATCAGCGTTCTCTGCGCTTGCAGCCACGCCGGGCTGCTGGAGCTGGGCTGCCAGTACTTTGCGTCGATCGAGCCGGACTATCGGGTAGCGATCGGCGTCCACCACTACGCCTGCGCGATCGATCTCTTGGGAAAGGCTGGCTGGCTGGACGAGGCCGAGAGCTTGATCGAGAGGATGCCGTTTGATCCGGACGGCGCTTGCTGGACGGCGCTTCTGGCAGCGTGCAAGCTTCACAAGGATGGCGATCGTGCGGAGAGGGCGAGCGAGCGGGCGATGGCACTGGATCCCGAGAGCGCCGCTCCCTACGCGCTGCTGGTGAAGATCCAGGGTGGCGGCGAGGCCTCCGAGCAGACGACGCGGCGGCGATTGGAGCGAGGGGTGCGCAAGCTCGTCCCGGGGTGTAGCTCCATCGTGGTGAGGGATCGGGTGCACGAGTTCACGGCCGGGGCGATGGATCATCCCCGCGCGGCGGAGATCTACGAGGAGCTGGAGCGTTTGAGGGCCCCCCTGGCGGAGGCGGGCTACGTTCCGGACACCGGAGTGGTGATCCAGGCGGTGGACGAGCGCGAGAAGGAGCGGATCGTGCTCGCGCACAGCGAGAAACTGGCAGTGGCGTTTGGGCTGCTCGCGACGCCCGCGAATTCGCCGCTGCGCGTTGTCAACAATCTCCGGATGTGCTCCGATTGCCACTCCGCCATGAAATTCATCGCGTCCATCACCCGGCGCGAGATTGTGGTGCGCGATCTTATTCGTTTCCACCGCTTTGACGAGCAAGGGCGTTGTTCTTGCGGGGATTACTGGTGAGTCAACGAGTCAACGGGTAAATTCTAGGGCAGCCGAATTTCTAGGGCAATGGAATGGTCACCGTTAGATATTTTTGGGGGCGATTCTTTTCTTCCCTCGCATGCTTGCGTCTCATATTTGCTTGCCCTTTCTACCCTAGCTCGAGCTTCCAGCTATGGCGATGGGGAAGAGCGCCCTGGCTGTCCTGCTGCTATCTCTTGCCATTGCGAGCGCTGCCGCTGCGTCCTCGCAGAAATTCGACTCCGGGATCCGGCAGGTCACCGACACAGCGCGCGACGAATCGAATGGCCGATTGGACGCTGCCAAGGCGCTGCTCGATGTGGAGACTCATTTCAAGAGCTTCATCGCGAGGTTTGGCAAGGCGTACGCCACGGCGGAGGCCTACGCGCACCGGCTGAAGGTTTTCGAGGCCAATCTCGTGCGCGCCGTGAGCCACCAGGCGCTGGATCCCTCGGCCGTGCACGGCATTACGCAGTTCTCGGATCTCACCGAGGAGGAATTCAAGCAGCAGTTTCTAGGGCTGAGGGTTCCATCGCGTCTCCGGGAGGCCAACAAGGCGCCTGTTCTTCCCACCAACGATTTGCCGGAGGATTTCGACTGGAGAGAGCACGGTGCCGTGACCGAGGTCAAAAATCAGGTAAGAAGAGGGAAAGAGGGAAAGTGGAAGCTCCCAAAGTCTTGGAAGTTCCTGGCGAATTTCTAGTGTCGGTGTCACATTTGATTTCTTTCTTTGGTTTGAGTTGCCAGAGTCTTGTTTGTTTGCCTGGCTCTGGAATCTTTCCTTTTGGATTGTTTGCTTTCTAGCCAACTGTTTCTCTCCTTTTCTAGAGATCTAACTGGTGGATTGACAGGGCGCGTGCGGCTCTTGCTGGGCGTTTAGTACCACTGGAGCGATCGAAGGGGCGCACTTTCTGGAAACCGGAAAGCTCATCAGCTTGAGCGAGCAGCAGCTGGTGGACTGTGATCACTCGGTAAGGAAAAAGTTTAAAATGCTTGGTTTCTACGCTACCACGATCTGATACTCGTGAATTGGAATTGTCATCGCAGTGCGACCCCACCGACAAAGTTTCCTGTGATGCTGGCTGCAATGGCGGGCTCATGACAAACGCTTACGACTACGTCATGAAATCCGGGGGCTTGGAGACGGAGACCGACTATCCTTACACCGGCAACAGCAACGGTAAGTGCCAGTTCAATGCCAACAAAATCGTGGCAAGCGTCGCAAACTTCTCCACCGTATCTCTGGACGAGGATCAAATCGCTGCCAATCTGGTGAAGCACGGCCCTCTTGCAAGTGAGTTCTCTTGATTTCCAGACTCCAAAATCACTTTTTTTTCTCACTTCCTTCTTCATCGCAGTCGGTATCAACGCAGTGTTTATGCAAACTTACATCGGAGGAGTGTCCTGCCCGATCATTTGCAGCAAGCACCACATCGATCATGGCGTTTTGCTCGTCGGCTACGGTGCCAAAGGCTACGCTCCCATCAGATTCACCGAGAAGCCTTACTGGATCATCAAGAACTCGTGGGGAGCTACCTGGGGCGAGCAGGGATACTACAAGATTTGCCGGGGCCATGGAATGTGTGGGATGAACACAATGGTGTCCACCGTCGCGTAAGAGAGCTCCATAGCTCATATCAATGTAAATACATTAACTATTATCTATCTAAACCACCAGGATAAAACACGGAATGGATATTCTTCTCATGTCCGTACTGCCCTTTTTAATGCCTTTCCAAAGCCTAAGACATTTTTTTGTTGGTTTTTTGGTTATGGTGTTGCGGCGAGTGGAAATTTCGAGACGATAGATCTGTGAAGGTACGTGATCCCTAGCGGCGCCATGGCGGAGCTCCGCGAAACCCCTTCCTTGATCTTCGCCATGGCTGATAGATTCTTTCCCAGGTATTGTCGATGGTAGTGGATGACGACCGTCTTAGGTGATGCCGACGGCGCCGGAGGAGAACGCATCCATAGCCAGGTAAGATTGCGCTCTTCCTCGCGCTGGCTCGCTCGCGTTCCTCGGGGCTAGGGCAGAAGGATTGATCCCCCTTTTCTTGTAGGTTATCGAGCTAGAGAAGCAGCTGAGAGCCAAGAGCAAGGAAAAGAAGGATGTGCGCAGCTTGAGGGCCAAATTCCGCGAGAAGAGCGTGGCGATCATATTGGGAGACCCCGAGTTTGCCGAGAAGCGCGACATCGGGGCGTCGCTATGGCACCTCGTCTTCTACAACGTGATAGAGGAGTTTCGGGGCAGGATTCGCGCTGCCGCCTCCGCTGCCGCCGGGGGAAAGGCAGTGAATCTCCGCAAGCTCTTGGGTGACTTTCGTGAGTTCATCGCCGACGCCACGAAGTTCTACTGTGGCCTCGTCTTGAAGATCAAGAAAAAGTATGGCTTGGCACAGGAAGGCCTTGAAGGTGGCGACTCCGACGCTCTGGGGGTAGATAGTAAGAGGCTGACTTACTTCCGGAGGTCTTGCTATAGGATCTTTATACATCTGGGTGATCTCGCTCGCTACAAGGAGCAGAATCCCGACAGTGAGAACTACTCGCCGGATTGGAAGCTACCAGCTAGTTATTATTTCAAGGCTGTGAAGCTATGGCCGGCTACTGGGCATCCTCATAACCAGGTACGTTATGGACTTCCTGATATTAAAGCTGGCTCCTTTCTCATTCCCCTTGGTTTTTTTTGTCTTTTTGCAGCTCGCTGTTTTAGCAACTTACTCGCACAATGACTTCCTTGCCGTGTATCACTACTTTAGGAGCCTTGCAGTCGATGACCCCTTCGTTACGGCGAGAGATAACCTGGTTCTTCTTTTTGAAAGGGTACGGCTTTTTTTTCTTGTCTGCCGTTGCATTTTGTTGACGTGTTGCTTGTCACAGAATCGTCAGCAGTATAGTGAGCTATTAGAGAAGAAACGCTCTTTGGATGTCCATAAAAAAAAGCCCGCGAAGGAGCACACGAAAGACGCTGAGAAGAAGCATTCTGGTGACGACGAAACCGAACTATTGCGAACCTTCTTTATCCGTTTCGTGCGGCTGAATGGAATACTTTTCACCAGAACAAGGTACCACTTTTATTTGTTCCTCCAACGCTGTGCTAATGCTAGTTTTCCTTTACCAGCCTTGAAACGTTCTCTGAAGTCTATCAAGAAAGCGTTCGCGACTTGGAGAAATTACTGGCTCTGGACGTTTCAACTCTGGAAGGACTATTTTCACCCGAGCTACGGAAAAACTCAGACGTTTCTGGGTTGGCGCTCGTGGTACTTCAACTTGTCACAGTCCTCGTATATTCCGTCCCGAGTGGGAGTTCTCGCAGCAGCTACGCAGACGTTCTTCAGCACTCGACTATGTCCAGGCACGCACTCGCGGCAGCTTTCAAGATTGTGGGGTGCTTCATGTCATCTTGCACGAAGTTCAAGGATATAGGCGAAAGTCCTTTTATGCCAGCATGCCTGGTTTTCTTAGAATGGCTGGCCTACAAGCAGGAGTGGGCGATTGGTAGAACGGTAGAAGATGACAAACAGTACGGTGCACAGGGTTTTTTCTGGAAGGAAGCCTTGGCTCTGCTCAACACGGTCTGTGAGGCTGAAAGTTGGGATGGGGTTGCAGATGAAGCTAGTCCGACTGCCTTATGGGAAGACCATGAGCTGAGGGGTTTCACTCCATTACTTTCGGCACAGCTCAGACTAGAGTATGACAATAAGCAGCCTGAAGAAGCGGCGGCTTTGCGACTGCGAAGGCTTTTGTCTGCGGGGAAGTCTATTGCAGAGCTAGTGGATGCTAGTGATACCGGTGCAGGCCTCGCCTTCGACAAAGACATGGTTAGATTTTTCTTAGCAGGGAACCACATGGACAGGAGGTCTAGAGAAAAGGTGGTGCGGAAAGTGCCAGAGCAGGCAGCTAAACAGGAGAAACAGGAGCCTTCCGGACAAATGCTAGTTACTGAACCACCCGCATCAGCTTCCAGCGTTCCTGTCAATGAAGATGAAGACGACGAAGTTATAGTTTTCAAGCCTGCGGTCAAGGTTGCCCCTCCAGTTCTCACCGATAGGAATGATGGTATGGTCCAGGCAGGGACGGTTACACCGCAGGTCCGGGACGATCTGGTGCCGCCGTTGGTTCGAGGCGATCAACTGGTGCCTCAAATCCCGGAAGACTTTCCCGCGCCTCCAATCCCTGACGACTTCGCTGCGCCACCACAAGCTCGGGATGATTTCACCGCCACCGCCCAGCTACGGGACGACTTTGCGGCGCTCGGTCGAGAGGAACAAGCTCGTGACGACTTCGCTGCGCAGCCCCCGCAAGCTCGAGACGACTTTATGGCACGGCAGGAGTTCGTGTCACAACAAGCTCGGGAGGAGCTTGCGGCGCTCGTCCGAGACGACTTCGCGGCGCGAGCAAAGCTGAACAGCGTGCGGCCTCCGCCGGGCTTCGGGCCAATACCGCAGAGGGCCGTCTCAAAGTGGAACGAAGGCTATCGGAGTCCTGCTCCTCAGTCGTTATTCGGGACAAATTTCGGCATATGGTCGAACAACATTCCAGTGCCGAAGAGCACAGCGTATCCTTTTCCCGGCATGGGAATGCGAACGCTCCAGCAGATCGAGCAGCAGCAGCAGCAACAGGCGATTCCAATGCCGCCTTTCCAGCCACCGCAACCTTTGTATAACTCTTGGAAGATTAGCGATACGAATGCCCTCGAGCTCCAGCTCCAGCAGCTCCACCACCAGCAGCAGGAGCAACACCAGCTGCATTTGCAACTGCAGCAGCAACTCCAGCAGCAGCCCCCGCAGCCTCCGCAACCTCAGCATCCGCCGCCGCCGCCGCAGCACCAGCAAGCAGCCTTTCGACCATACTGTCCGCATGATCCGTTCGTCTCATAAACGTAAGCTCTTATCACCTTTTCTGGCGCGTTTGTTCTGACTGTGTGATCTCACAGGTCGAAGATGATTGTGCGCACGAGCTTCCAGATGCGTGGCATCTCAAAAGCTGTATGAGATCCAACTCGCCATCTACGCAGGAGAACAAGGTAAAAAATGAAGAAAAACTCGATCAGTTTTTGTTCCTCATTAGTTTGCTTTTCTTCCATGCAGACGTTCCAAAGTTCTCACAATCGATTTGCAACACTAGACCCATGGTGGAAACTCTTAATTTGTTTCCAACCAAAGACATTCAATTTCTTCTCTAAATTTACAACACTACCTTAGAATAAACTCGATATTTGCTTACTTTGCATGCGTTTAGAAGAAGTCTCGATCTGGAAGAACGAGTGGAGCTATGAGCGACCAAATGTATAGCGCTGCTGTGAACCACATTGTGCCAATCCGGACCCATACCGAAGGCCAGCTAATGTCGATAGCATCCTTGTCTCCGGGATTTCCCCATCCGGTGAGCAACATAGCCAAGTACATGCTCGCAAGAGCAAAGACGAGATAAAAGAACGAGTAGACATACGTGACAGGATAGTGCTGGGACGATTTCTTTGCTTCGTGGAAGTTGTGCTCAGATCCAGTGCCACTTAGTTTATGGCTGTTTTCAAGATCTCTCCTCGAGAGCAAAGGTTGCAAAGGAGCATCTGGAAGAAGAATTAAGTAGAACAACTCACAAAGTTGCTGTATCGTTACCTTCCTCACGAGGAGCTGGCGGTGACAGGAAAGTGGTCGAAGAGCCTGCTCGAGCCGCGGAGTATATCACGGAGATAAGCGTGGTGGCCATTCCCATGACAAGCGTGTTTGTAGAAACCACCTCTGCGTGCTTGAGCACTCCGATGCACTCGTAGTCTCGTGGCTCGCTTGACAATGCACTGTAGCATAAGTACACGCAGTAGAGCGCTATCACTGAAGCAGGCAGCAGGCTCCCATTCACCTAGAACAAAAAAACCATCCTTCACACTCAGCAGAAAAAACGCTAGCTTACCTGAGGATGCACAGAAATAGCAGCGAAAGCGATGCCAAGAGATAGTGAGGTCGTGATAAAGAAGAGATTGAGCTCGCAATCTTGATAAGCAGGATTGAACCACTTATACAGGTACCCTGAGAAAACAAAGGTCGTGATGTAGCACACAAAGGACACAGCAAGCAAGGCGTTATACCTGTGAAGTGTGAATCTTGTTATATGTATGAGGAAAAGAAACTAGGAAGAACACTACCAGAACTGACTCTCTTTGGCAATCCACGCAACATTCCAGTTGTATGTGAAATCCAAAAGCACGACCATCTGGACCAGGAGAAACAAGCCAGACCCAAACCTCGAGAGCTTTCCTGCCAGAAGAACAAAAACTATGGTTGTAAATCCAAGAGAAAGAAACACTAGATTTACCATAAGCATCTACGATGTCGTTGGGAAGAAGGATGAGGCAAAGCACAGTGAGACCAGACCAGATGATAAGCTTGATCATCCAGTTGCCACGATGCCAAAAGTCCCTGTGATCGCTTTGGTACTTAACTCCAAACATAAGCAGCGCCATTCCAATGAAGAACAAGAAACTCCCAAAGCACACGCGTAGAACAGCTTGTGTGGCAAACCAATCCTTGCCAGGCGAGTAAGGGAAGTGATTGATCCCTGCCACAAGCGAAAAAAGAATAAATGGTGTTGCAAATCGCAAGAACTTACACGGGATTTTCTCCAGGATTGGCCATGCGTGGTCGCGCAGCATCCATGCGAGCAGTAAGGAGAGCGTGTGGAGGCCGCAATACGCGATTCTTGCTGATCGGCGAGAGATGCTGCTCGCTAATCCCTTACAAGCCTGGCAAGCGCAAGCCGCAGAGCAGGACGCTAGACAGGATGTCCCCCACATCGCTCGCTGGATCGAGAGAAGCAAAGCCCTAGAATTTGATTACATTGTCCCTCGCTTTAGGGCTTATGCAAATGCCAAGTGTCTCCTCGCTTCTGGCGCTCAAGGAATGCGGCAGCGCGCGTCTGCGATCCAATCCAATGCGCTGGAATCTGGGACAGGAGTGCGAGAGCTTGAGAAGGAGCTGCTTAGAGAAGGGGGCGGAAATCCATTGCCTTGCTGCGAAGAATGGATTGGAAGAAGATATCTACGTGGCGAGTAGCTTGGTGGATATGTACGTCGAGTGCGGGAGCTTGGTGGATGCTCTTCGGGTTTTCCGCGGGATTCCAGCAACAATGTGGTCTCGTGGACTGCCATGGTTTTCGGCTACGTGCAAAACGGGGAGTTCACGATTGAGTTGGAGCTTTTTGCCAGATGCAGTGATCTGGGAGATCAAACTTTTGTCTGCGATCAAGGCGTGCAGTGGCTTAGCAGCGAAAGAAGAAGCCCGAAAGAGAAAAGGTTGCAAGGTGGTAGTGAAGGAAAGATCATTGGAGAAAGGAAGAGTGATCCACGCTCAAGGCAGCCAGCTGTGGATACGACGGAGTTATATTCGTCTCGAGCAGCTTGGTGGAGATCTATCACGAAGTGTGGTGGATGCCTGTTGAGTCTTTGAAGGGATTCCACATAACAATGGACGGCAATCAGGAAACCAATGGTCATTTTGGAACTCTTTGTGTTGATGCAGCAAGAAGGTTGTTTGAGAACTTTTCACCTTCTGTCGGACAGCTAAGGGAAGAAAGGTTTTTTATTTTTAGAAATGAATCAAAATGCAAGTTAAACCTAATTAAATCCAAAATGTTGGCAAGGTAACATCATGAACAACGAGTTTTCAAACATGAAAACATCAACAACATCGGCACAACCAATGACCCCGACCACAAACTCACGGCCCGGCTGGTGCTCAAACGTCTTCTCCACGCAGATCTGCGTCGGAGCAAGCCACACTAGAACCCCATCCATGAGATACAAAGTCCCCATGAAGCTACCAGCGACATCTTGACTGGAAGAACTTGTGAGATGATGGCGCGGTACCCGTAGATGATCTTGCTCGTGGCCGGATCGCACAGCGCATCAGCCTACTCCTCCTCGGACATATGCTCCTGCACGACCTGGATCAGCTGCAGTAGAACCACCTGATGGGTGTCACACAGCATAGCCTCATAGCTCAGCCTGCCATACCACATCACCTCTCTTGGGCCGCCCTTCTGGAGCAGCTCTTTGTCCAGCAGCACCTTGCAGACGCACTCTGGGAGATGGAGCTCGTCGCAAAGATACCCAAAGGTCCTCTGGTGGAGATCGCTGCCCTGGTGCATCCTGTGTTGGGAAGCACAACGTCCATGTCACTAGCCACATCACATATCCTCACCAACCGTCAAGAGTAGCCACATCCTTTTATATATAACCACCAAAATTGTAGTGCACGTGGTTTTGACCCTTTATCCTATGGTGATTGACCATAGGATAATACCTAAACCCTCTTTGTGCCACGTGACAGATGCCATGTGTCCAAAGGACAGTGGTGTGGAACTTGAGTTTTAGGGCTTTGGGCCACTGAACAAAGGAACGGTGCTAAACTCCCAAGCATGGTGTCAGGGAGTGACGGAACCGAACCATGGAGCAACTCTTGAGTATATAACCCAAGGAGCGAAGGGACAAGGGCACGTAACCAGCATCCCAATGCTAGGTCTAGCACGCAAAACAGAGCCAAATGGAGTCTGGCACTATTTCAACATACTGGTGGCCTAAGGCAAGGATATGGGTATTCCACCAGCTAGCATGGAATGGAACTTGGGCTTAGACCCAAGCCGGACGTAGAATATAGACAGGCACCCAAGTAAGAGCTAGATTGTGCCTCAGATTGGTCAATCATGCCCGACCTACCCACTATCCCTATTATACATTTGGACCCCCCCCCCCCCCCCCCCACCTTGAGGAACACACACTTTGGGCTTTCACCCCAAGCCTCCCTTAGTATCAGGAGTTAGTCTCTGGGACAAGCTTGAAACTTATTAAATATGGAATGGCGCTAGAACGCGAATTTGGACAAAGGACAAACACCATTGTGTTCAGGCCAATCTCTACATTCCGTAGATATGCCAAATGAGCAAATCTAGACACTTTCCATAAATAGTATTTAGGACCGGAAGGAGACTAACACAAAGGGCATGATAGCAAAGGTGTTTGGCAGACACGGTAAGCTATCATCTAGCGATATTAAGGGATCAATCTCAATATCAAGGGGGTTCTTGATACTAGCAAGTGCAAGCCAATGATAGGAGTTTCTCAAACCGGGCCGAGTATGCTCAGCAAGAAATACATAAGAGTTCCTACCTTATGTTTATTCGATTTAAGTACATAGTCATTGACCAGTTTCTCAACTAGCTCAAGTGGGAACTAATAATGGGTCTAGCAATACCAACCTCCTGCCGTCGTGGTAGTAAAAAAAAAATATCCGAAAGAACTAGCCGACAGGTAACTTTTGATACCTAAAGTCACATTCGCGACAGTCTCCTAGGGAAGATCGACGTCCTCATCAATGCATACTCGAGTCTAGAATACTGCCAAGGAAACAACTCCAGAAAAAGTTCACAATATTCATACTATATGAGAAATGCACCGACTTAAATGAGTTAGGGGGTAACCTCTTTGTCTAACGCAGATGCACTACCAACTCAGACACCTTTCGGCCGTCGTCGACAAGGAAATGACCAACGGAGTCAGCCACCCTTGCTGCTTTGGGTGTCACCCAACTACAAAAGTGTGATACGCCCCTGCCCGCAGGTGGCATAGAGAGAGAAGCTAGAGGCCCCAACCCTCTTGAGCAAAGAAACCAAACCCATCGGTAAGGTTTAGATAGACTACTGTAAACAGGCAGTCAGAGTTCTTTACATGGTCATGCCCTTTCAACGGAATAAAGAACATCGACAAAGAGGCGGGTTATGTGACCAGTCGACAGTAGCTACCCCATGACTAGAGATTTCACCATGCACATGAAGTGCCGAAGCCAGTCTGCCTAGACTGGCCCAAAGTCAAAGATCAATATATATGGACGATATCAAAGTCATAAACAATGATATCTTAGAGATTTAATTATCAGTGAATAGAACACAAAAGTATTCCAAGTAAATTATCATCCGATAAACAAGTATTATAGTATAGGAACCACCAAGATCACTATCATTGAAAAACATAGGATTCATCATCCAACAAAGTTCAATAGCTAGTATATCATTAAGTAAACTCAATGATGAAATTTAACTACCGAAAATGGTAGATAGCATGCCAAACAACTCACAAAACACAACTTAAAGAACACAAAGTATCATTAACTAACAAGCACAATGCTCACGAATGTATCACCCGAAGGAAATAACATCATAATTTATGAGAACTAACTCGAGCAACAATCAACAAAACAAAATGAATGTTGCAAAGCAAATAAACACTTAGTCATGTCAACCATCACATTAGCTAATTTGAATAGATCCCGGTCAACAATACGAAGGAACTCAAGTTGCCTTATCAAGCGTTAGCAACATCCTGCTAATGTCTCAAACTCAATAGACCAATCCAGAGCAAACCACAAAGAACATGTGGTATTGTGAAAAGCCATATGCCATCAAAGAAAATAACTAACCATCATGAAAGATCATCAATCATCCTATCAATAGAGAAATGCATAATCGTCATCGAAGAAAGAATCCACCATCCCGAAGAATGACAAATCATTCTAGATCAACGATAATCAAGCAAAACCTTTGACAAGGATAATTAACTATCCTAGATGATAGTCAATCATCACTAATGATTATTAGATGCAAAAGCTAACTTCAACATCGAAGCTAATGAGCCAAAATGCCTTCCCCAACAACTTCAAACAAATGGAACAATGAGTATAAAAACTCAAGGAACCGAAAGTTCAAAGAAATCTATAGCCAAGTGTTATTTAACAATGATCACGAGTCTCGCATGAACTAATTTCAATGCTAAAAAAGAATTCATGGTACAACCCACAATATTCTCCTCAACACATCCATAAGTTAAACTTCATAATGCAAAGCTAATGAAGAGCATATCTGCATCAACCCAAAAGCTAAGCACAATAAAGTTATGCTCAACAAGTGATTATCAAATCGATCCTCCATGAATCCATCTTTAGTAAGATGTAACTCACTTTATAACAAGCTGTGAGACACAAAATCCCTAGGCCCCAAAGTGGAGCCGAAAGGGTGCCACGTGGTAGTGGCCGAAGTGAAAGCCAACGAGCGTAACACGATTGGATTGAAAGCTCCGACTTGAAAGGTTGAGAGCGGGAGTGGAACTCCCAACAAAGTGCTCGAGGAACAAGCACGAAGCGAGCAATAAGCGAGGCTCCAAAAAAGGACCCAAGTTGAAGTCCGAGGTGTGTTAGGAATCCCCCAATTCATACCACATTCTTGAATCTCACTGGATTCCTGACCTGCAGACCACATTCCTGATTCTCGAGACACTTCCCTATTCCTGACTCTCGAGACTCTTCCCTATTCCTGACTCTCTGATTTCCCGTACGATTCTTGAGTCTTGAGCCACATTCCTGATGATGATGTGGCGCCTCCTCGACCTCAGCTATATTTAGGCCGTCCTCAATCCAAGAGTGGTGGAGCTTCATCAACCTATAGTATATATAGGTTAGCTTTATTCCATTTCTCCACAATCTAAATCAACACCAGTCTAAGGCATCTTCTTTGTTTCCACTAGCTTTTCTCTTTGTCTTTTGCATTTTCCAGTCTTGATCTTGTTGGGGGTCTTGACAATTTGATTCAGATTGTGTTTTTTCAATTTTTTTTCATTTAGCTTGTTTTGATTGTTTGACTGCCTTTGCCTTTTTTCTTTCTTTCTGCCGATGGAGTCTCAAGCCATCCTGATTTCTTTGCCGAAGTCCTTGCAAAAATCCAATCTGAGAATACCGAGCTGAAGGCGAC